AACTATTATTTGATTCTAAACTATTCAAATATGGACGCTAGTGTCTTAAACAGTCATTTTGGATCATTTGAGTGCGTGTCAAATAAAATAACAAATAACAGCTCTTTGTGCAACCGATTTTGATTCCTGAAAATGGCTAGAAAAAGGAAATTTCACTTGAAAAACGTTCACAAATACTTATTTTGAAAAAGGTGGTAAAGCGTGAAATTGCAAATATTGTTGGCGTTCCAAAGTGTGGAGTGGAAACCACATTGAAGCGTTTTGCTGAAACCAACTCGAATATTAATAGAAAACGCTCTGACCGACCAAAAAAAAACAACCCAAGCTGATGATCGACACATTTTATTGATGAGCAAACAAAATCAAACAGCACCAGACATTCGTGCCGAAATCAACAAAACCCTGACTAACCCAGTTTCGGTGGATACTGTCAAACGTCTTTTGCGAGAAAAGGGTTATTTTGGTCGCATTGCTGTGAAAAAAACACTTCTACGACCACAAAACAAGCGGAAAAGATTATTGTTTGCTTAAAAATATAAAGATTGGTCAGTTGATCAGTGGAAGTCTGTGTTATGGACCGATGAATCAAAGTTCGAGATTTTTGGATCTAGGCGACGCCTGTATGTTCGTCGAAATAAAGATGAGCGGTATAATCCCCAATGTATTGCACCAACTGTTAGACATGGTGGAGGCTCCGAGATGGTCTGGGGGTGTTTTAGCTACGATGGTGTTGGAAAACTGGTAAAAGTCGAAGGAATAATACGGAAGGAACACTATCACAATATTCTTCAACGAAGTGCCATTCCATCTGGCCTTGGTTTGTTCAGCAACGGATTTATCTTTCAACAAGACAATGATCCCAAGCACACCTCTCATCTGTGCATGAACTATCTAAGATCCAAGGAAGAGGAAGGTGTGCTCAAAATCATGAATTATTATGGGATGAGCTCGACCGGCAGGTGAAGAACATGCACGTGACCAGTTGTTAGACAGACTAAAAGTGGCTTGGGACAATATCGCTACTGGAATACTTCAAAAAATGGTCAGACGTCTTCCAAGAATATGCGGTGCAATCATCAAAGCACGAGGTGGACACATTGATGAACAAAACCTAATTTGACATCACATCTTTATAAGAAATTTAGATGTAATAAACATGAATCATGACACAATAGTCTTTTCTTCTAGGTTATATACAAGATTTGATCACAAAATGATGTTTGAGACAATAAAAACCAATCACAAACTCAAAAAATCGATTTTTCCGATGGTGTCCTTATAGTTTTGCATGGCAGTGTACATCAAGAAAATGCAACAGCAGCTGATGTCCTACTTATCAAATGTTGGAGGGATATTGCTGCCAAAAATAGGAACAATGCTAAACGTGTACAGTTAAAAATTACTTCCTACTTACTCGTAAAGACGTATGTTTGTATCCACATGATTATATTTTACGTAACTTTATACAGGTATATACTCACTTAACACACGCATTTACTTTTTTCAATAAAAGCATTATGAGTCTAAATATTTATTTCCCTCCCTACTGAGTGGGGCCGTGGCAAATGCTTGTTCCAGAAGTTGTTGTATCCAGTATACAACTTCTTCCCGTTCAAGTGATTGTCCACACGTTAAGGAATACCTCAGTACCGATTGCCGGGTGGCGGTACAAGTCCGCCAACGGGCCACTTTAGGTCTATTTAACATCACTAACACGTAAAAAGAAGGTGGTAGACAAGGACCAGTCGACCGAGGCAGTACCACCCGCTAGCTTTTCCCAGGGTGTCTTATAAATGTCCGCATGTTTCCACACCTAAGCTATGCAGTCGGTTATCCACCAAAACAAAGAAATTAATGATGATGGATCCCTCGAGTACTAAGAATTCCAGATGTAAGCTCACTGCACTCTCAGAATGTCCGGGTGGAGGGTGGACTTGAGGGAACAACATCGAAGATAAAATTTGTTTCACGAACATCTGCGGGATTAACAGCAACATTGATGGTGTACATCACTACTTGCAATCCAAGCGTCACGCCATGCTTTTCTTGGCGGAGACAAAAATCTCAGAGTCCGCACCGATTAACCATCTTAGCTTACCAAATTACGAGGTGCACTCCAGTCTGAGAAAGAACGGAGGAGTTGTGGCCTTTGTCCGCAGCAGTCGTTCCTGCTGCAGAGATGTTTCTCTGGAATCAGACCGGAAGGACATTCTGTGGCTTCGCCTCAACTCCAAAATATCACCCAAGTTTATTTGCTGCCTTTATCGCTCTCCCTCGGGATGACCTACTCGATCAATCATCCCGCTTCAGAGGTAGTTCTTCTAGGTGATTTCAAAGCCCATAACGAGCTTTGGTTGGGCTCAAACAAGACCGACGCAGCAGGTCGAGCAGTCGAAGCGTTCGCTCTTACCCAAGGGCTGACTCAGCTGGTGACGAGTCCTACTTTTTTCCCCCGCGTCTCGTCACACACCACGCCAGTAGCCTGCTGGATCTCTTTCTGACCACGCATCCTGCCCCTTACAGCACTGCTGTCCTGACCCCCATGGGTAACTCAGACCACGGTTTGTGGAGGTTAGGTTTCGATCAGAACCCGCTGTGGCAGCAGAAACTCGTACAGGCCACAAAACTTGGCATTACGGACATGCCGACTGGGAGGGGCTCAGAGATTTCTTCTCTAGCTTTCCTTGGAAAGATGTCAGTTTCACTGACGCGTATGAGTGGGCTGTCTGTTCTTCGATAACCGAAATTATCCACGTCGGAATGGAGGAATACATCCCTCACACAGTGAAAGTGCCTAGACCAGGGTCCAACGGCTGGTTTAACAAATCGTGTGACGCTGCTCGCCAACAGAAGATCAAGGCACACAGAACCTTCTTACAAAACCCCACTGTAGAGAACAGACAAGCCGACGTTGAGTCCAGAAACAAATATAAAGCAGCGGTTCGCAATGCCAAAAACCAGCATGATATAAAAGTTAGGCACAGGGTAATGTCGCAGCGCAATGGCAGTCGGTCTTTCTGGACGCTGGCCAGGCAGATTGAAAAGAACTTCTCACACAGTAGCCTTCCACCACTTACGTGTCAGGATGGAACTATAGTATTCAAGTCAAAGGCCAAGGCGGAAGTGCTAGCAAAGATCTTTGCTGCCAACTCCACCATGGACGTCCCCCCCAACGCCCAATTGAAAGGGTTCCCTACACTATGCGGGAGGTACCATTCAGGCATAAGACCGTAAGACGAGCGCTCTTGTCGCTCGACATCAACAAAGCTTCTGGTCCGGACTTGATTCCTGCCATTGTACGGAAGAGGTGTGCACCGGAGCTTGCTCCAGTTCTTTCGCGTCTCTTCCAGATATCTTATGAATCCGGCACCTTCCCAGAAAACTGGAAATTTCCTCATGTCCAACCCATCCCAAAAAAGGGATCTAAGACCGACCCTTACAACTACAGGCCTATAGCTCTGCTTTCTGTTTTAAGGTGATGGAGAGGTGCATAAATCGCGAGCTTCTGGACTACCTCGAACGTCACGGCTTAATTAGCCACAGGCAGTATGGTTTCCGACACCAACGATCCACAGGGGACCTCCTAGCTTACGTCACTCAATTGTGGAGTAAACTCATCCAGTCTTATGGTGAGGCTCATGTCGTTGCTCTTGACATCACGAAAGCGTTCGATCAGCAGTGGCACGCTGCCCTCTTAAGCAAACTTCCATCCTATGGCCTCCCAAAAAAGCTTTGCAGATGGGTGGCTGACTTTATCTCTGGCCGCAAGATATCCGTCGTAATTGACGGGTTCTCCTCTTCATCCCACAACGTCAACGCGGGTGTTCCCCAGGGATCGGTCTTGGCTCCGACACTGTTTCTCTTACATATCAACGACCTCCTTTCCTGCACGATCAACCTAATCCACAGCTTCGCTGATGACAGCACTCTACATGCAAGAATTCAGAGTGACAAGCCGATCTCTGCCGCTGAGTTCGAAAAAAGAAGATTAGCGATGACTTCCTCTCTGACAAGAGACCTGGAGGCTATTACTGCTTGGGGACGCAACAATCTTGTACAGTTCAATGCTTCCAAAACGCAGTACTGTACTTTGACGAACAAAAAGCGTCCCTGCGCTCACCCGGTTTCGATGGATGGTCGAGTTCTGCCAAAGAGCCATTCATTTCGGCTGGTCGGAGTCCAGATCACCGAGGACCTGATCTGGCACGAACACATCTCGTCAATAGCTGCAGCTGCTGGGAAAAAGCTAGGCTATTTGTTTAGGGCTAAGAAGTACTTTTCTCCGCATGACCTTCTCACTCTATACAAGGCCCAGATAAGGCCTAGCCTCGAGTATTGCTCGCACGTTTGAGGTGGTGCCGCCTGGACTACATTATCCATGCTCGATGCTGTCCAGCGGAGGGCGGTCCGACTGATCGATGACTCTTCTCTAACAGACAGTCTCGGGACTCTTGCGCACCGGCGGGCTGTCGGCGATCTGGCTCTTTTCTACCTTTACACTAACGGGCTTTGCTCCTCAGAGCTCTCGTCCATGATGCCGTCGCGCGATGTGCCTCCCAGAGAGACCCGCCTAACTTTGGCGTCCCATCGTAACCGTGTCGAACTTCGTACATCCAGAACCGGCCGATACGACCGCTCCTTTGTCCCGAGGGTGTCGAGATTGTGGAACAATCTACAAGAGGAAGCTTTTCCCAGTTCTATTAACCGTAGGCAGTTCAAAAATCGTATTAATAAAATTTCTTTGGGATCATCATAGCAGCCGCGGTGTTCCGGCATTTAGGCTTCTGCCTGCGCGGCTGCTTCGATATAAAAAAAATTCCGCTTTATCCGAAATTTCGATTATGCGAAAGCCCTTGGGTCCACATTATTTCAGATAATCGGGGTTCTACTGTACTTGAATGGTTCCTTTCAAATAACATAATTTTGATAAGAATTTCAGTAACATGATATACTGAACGGATGTCTCGATAGCTACTTTCGTCAAAATATGGTGGATATACCTGTTTGAGCCTTTCCACGCTAGTATGTGACGCAGTAGTCGTTTCATTGAGAGCTTTCTGTAAGCTCTGTATTTCCGATTTTAAGTCATATTCGGATTGTGAAGCCTTCTCTAGATTGATTGTCATCTGGTCTATAGTAGATTTCAATGATATGCATCTTTCCTCCAGACCTGCTATCATTCGGCCTTGGTTATCGCTTTTTTCTTGCAGTTTCTGAAATTAGAACAGTTTACAGATAAGAAATATAATGATTTTTTGTACAGTAATGTCAACATAACTAGCTCTTATATTGCTGTAAAGTTATAAATATTGAATAGAAGAATGATAAAGCAACACTTGTTCTATTAATGCACGAATGGATATAAACATATTTGTTTTTTAGTCTTTGAAATTCAGTGATAAAGCGATACTTTAAGAAATATAAACCATTTATTTTTCTGCAGGAACTCGGTAGTTTTCGTTAATGCACATAAGGTAAACAATTCTTTACTAATAAAGTTCGAATTTTTGTTTGTTTGAAATACCTGTATGACTCCATCTTTTTCTTGCAACATCATTTGAAGCCTTTGTAGATCTCCTTCAGCAGACATGCGTTGCAGTTCAAGTTTCGTTGCTCTATTTTCGCACCTGGCCAATTCATCCTGTAGATTTCTTTTTTCATCTTCGAGTCTAGCTAAAGCCATCCTCGTTTTCTCTAGTTTTTCCTTAAACGTTACAAGGCATTCAAATATATTTTCAATATACAGTTGACGATTTCAAGACTTACTTCATATTGGAGTTTTTCGTCAGAACCAGTGCTCACTGATAACTCCAATGATATAACCTTTTGCTGTAGTAACTTCACCTCTTCATTCTTTTTGTGCAGTGCCTCAGTCTGTAAATAGAAATCGCTCATGAGCATCTTCTAACTGCGATTTTTTCATAAACACCTTCGTTTAGAGAAAAGAAAATATAATACCTGTGAGTGTAGTTCGATAGTTTTTTGTCCCAGCTTGGCTTCCAGAGTACTTTTTTCCTCTTGCACGACCCTTAGGTTCTGTAGAGTCTTACCCAGTTTATTGTCACACTTAGTTTGGCTGTCTTGGATCTCTTGCAACTGTTTCTTTGTCGCTTGCAACTGAGCTCTAAAGTCATCTCTTTCTCGTTCTGTTTGAGCTACTTGTTGCATCAAATTTCTCACCCCTTTTTTTATAACTTCAGGGTCTATGTTGGTAACCCCGTCCTTGCTATCATCGTGGACTAAAAATAATAAATATAATTTGAGGGTTTCTTAAATTATCAATTCATCACTACCTTTGGATGGACTCCATCGTCTTGAAGGACTGAGCAGTCTATAAGGTACTGAAACACTCCCATCTAGTTGTATACCAGCTATCCTTCTGAGAGTTGAGATCACACTGCTCAACTTTTGTTCTACTTCTCTTTTTGAATATTCCAATTGAGCCAACTGGGTTTCTAATGACCTTATCCTTCCTTCCGCTCCTCCAAGCTTAGCCTGTTAGAAAAGATCACGTTCAGGATTGATGTTCCAGATTTATACAGGGTGGGCGATATGTAACTGACTGGTTTGTATGTTGAATATTTGTGAAATGAAATAAAATACGTCCATTTTTTCATCGTAATCTTTTATTGAAACTTACAGATTATGTATGAAAAATAATATCAGACAAATGTCCGCCTCTAGAAGCCGTGCAAACCTGAGCCCTCTTGATTACATTGGCATCACGTTTTGGCAGGTTTCGGGAGGAATATTTTCAATCGCTTCCATAATATCGTTCTTCAGCTGCTTACAGTATTTAGTTTGTTGGCATAAACCCTATTTTTCAAAAATCCCCATATAAAAGTCAAGAGAAATTAAACGTCCCGGAAATATTGTTCGCAAAAGATTCATTGTTTCCATAGCTGTGTGACAAGTTAAATTGTTGAATTTGAGGAGCCAGAAAGTTTTCTACCATATCACGGCAGCGCTCGTCAGTGACAGTAAGAGAATTACCTGCAGCGTCTTCAAAGAAGTAAGGTCCAATGACACCTCCATACCAAACACCGCACCAAACTGTGATTCAACGAGGATGTAGTGTTCGTTGATGATGACACGAGGGTTCTTTAATGCCCAGATACAACAATTCTGCTTATTAAGAAATCCGTTCATATCGAAGTGGGCTTCATCGCTCATTTATCAGTTGTCGGTAAAAATTGTTATTTTGGGTATTAAGCCGCAATATTGCATGATTATATTGTCGGCAAGTCTTTTTTTAAAATAGTGCATAATGACGTGCGATGAATACCCTGTTCGTGAGAACGATGTCTGGTAGACATCTCAGCGCGCTCCACTGCACTTTCACGAACTCTCTCGATATTTTCCGGAGTACGAACAGTTCGAACACGGCTGGATCTCGGCAAGTCTTTCTTCCCTGTTTGTTCAAATTTCCGCACCAACTGACGAATTATCAACACACACTGGGCACATTATTTCGACCGAAATCTTGTATTAGCTTCCGAATCGTTGCAGCAATCGAGTCATCATTTGAGTAAAACGTTTTCACAATACGGACGCGTTGTGGGATCGTGTAAGGATCCATGATGAATTGGACACATGTGCTTTAAACAACTACTACGGCGCCAAATACTGAAATGCATATACCAAAAATGGCGCGCAATTTAAAATAAGTCAATTATATATTGGCCATCCTGTATAATATATCCCATAGTCTTTTAAATTTATAATGAAGTGACCGTCTTGTAATCGATTTTTCACTCACCTCACCAACAGGAGGGAGGTGATGTTTCACTGCTTTGTACTTGATAATCAAACTGATTTTTTTTTAAATCCCATTACCTTACCTTCAGCTCTTGTATCTGTTGTGTAGCATCTACTAAACAGACTTCTAGATTATGTTTTTGATCTTCGAGTTTTTTTTCCTTCACACTGCTGTCTTCAAGATGAAGAAGTAAATCTTGTTCTCGAGCATGCCACTGCTCTTCCAACTGAGCTGTGTGGTTTCTTGACCTACTTAATTCCTGGCGGGTCTGTTCCAAATTTCTCTCCAATTCCGACATCTAAAATGATGAAAAAGTAAGAGGTAATTGACCTGTATTTGACCTGTATCATTTTCTTGTTTGGACTCTAGTTTCTGAGGGATATTAGCTATGATCTTTTGTCCACTTGAAACATCAATTCTAGTAATTTCTTGTATCTGCACATCAAGTTGTGGATCATATATCATACTATCAGAGGTTTTTTCATGGTTTTGACTAGGTCCTTTATCAATACACAGTACAAAATATAAAATTTACCTGTTTTCTTAACGAATGAATTTCTTGATGTGCTCTTTCCCTCTCTTCAACTTCGTTGAGCAACCTAGCTTGCAGTTCTTTCTCCTCATTTTGTTGCTGGCTATTTGCTGATTGAGATTTTTGTAGTTCTTCTTGTAGACCTTGGACACGATGCTCAGTCTGTAGCTGCTCTTTCTCCAAGTCTCTTATTTGGTTCTGCAAACGTGTTCGTTCGCTCTCAAGAGATTGCCTGATATCCTTAAGACCTAGGATAAAGAATGTTGTCAGATAATTTTACTCAATAATTCCCACATATCACGTCTGGTTCGGAACACCATTAATATAATAAAGGTGAGCCTCATAAAGAACTTGGGCAAGGTTGTGTATTTTGAACGGAGTAATAATATGCTCTGTATTAGCCAACAGAAATTGATAAAACCAAAAGTCAAAGATTCCGAAATTCCTCACTTCCTCAAAAATTTCCTATTTATTTATTTATTCAACACATTAGGGACATCAAACAGAGAACATCTCCAAAACAGACATCCACCGTGTAGTTAAACATACTAAAATGTAAGGATTGATCTACATATATGAGATATAAACATTCAGTTTAGCAAAATAAAAATTATTACAAAGAATGGTAACGTGGCTTACAAGGGAGTGACCAACATTATCTTTTTTTTTTCAACTATTTAAACTTTATCATTTCATAAGCAGAAATATCAGCGAATTTGCTATAGTTGTTGAGATTTCTTTGCATTCGTACCAGTGGAGAGTTTAAACCAATATTAGTTCTACAAAACGGAATATTGAAGTATGTACAGTGTCTAGGATTCACTCTAATCGGTACATTTATATTGATTTTCGATGAAAGGTAAAAGCAGTCAATTTGAATGGTCAAGATTCTATGAAGAAAATATAGATAATATCCTTCTCTTAGACAGAGATAAGATTTAGAAATGTTCCATTACCAAGCTATAATCGTGATTATGGACAATGATACCCGCCTTGAAAGACAGAATTCGCAAGAACTTATGTTGGACAGACTCACTTCTCCTTATGTGGACTTCGTACTGTGGGTTCCAAATAATAGACGCGAAAGAAAGATTACTATGTATACACGCTTAGTATAGTGATAACAGGGTAGAAGGGTTGTTGAAGTATCTAGAGTGTCTTCTGATAAAGCCAAGCATCTTATATGCCTATTAAAGCTCCATTTCGTATTATCTAGTGTAACACCCAGGTCCCGAATATTGCTTACTGAATTAATATTGGCTTTCTCTATCTGATACGCAATCTGAAATAGGTTTCTTTTTTTTTTTCGTGAATGTGATTGAAAAACATTTTTTAGTGTTAAGTGGCAGGTCATTTCTCTGACAATAATCGTTAAGTTTGTCGATATCAGATTGTATTTTGACGCAGTCTTAAAGGCTTTCAACTATACGATACATCTCTAAGCCATCTGCGTAAAGAAGAAACTGGTAATGGCTGAAGCATTGTGCGATATCATTTATATAAATTAAGAAGAGTAATGGAACTAAGTGGCTACCCTGAGGAACTCCCGAGAATGAAATAACGACCCTGGATTTATACCCGTTTATACACACGAATAATTTTCTATCGCGCAAATAAGATAAAACCCACATTACAAGAGGGCTACGAACACCAACCTCAGCAAGTTTTGTCAATAGGAAATTATGATTAACTTGATCAAAAGCCTTGCGGAAGTCGGTATAAATAGCATCGACTTGGAAATTTCTGTCCAGTCAGAAGTCAGAAAAACAAAACAAATTGGTATCCAGGCACCTTTTCGGAAAAAATCCATGCTGTTGCTGAATGATTACATTTTTTACATCAAAAAGAATTTCATTATAAATTAGCTTATCGAACATCTTCGAGAATATGCACAGCTTGCTAATAGCCCTGTAATTGTCTCCACTTTTAAAAATAGGTGTAACGGAGGATTTCTTCCAATCATCGGGGAATGTGTTAAATTCTAAAGAGGTGTTGTAAATTAAAGTAAGAGGTTTATATAAATTCATTTTACATTTTTTATGAATATTGGTGGTATATTGTCAATTCCAGCAGATTTGTTGATATCTAAAATGTCAATAAATTCAAGTACTTGCTTTTCACCGATTGTTTTTAAATCTTTGGGTATGCCTTCGTCCATAGGACTGTCGGAAACACTATTTGTAGAAAAAACGCTACTGAAGTACTCGGCAAACAAATCACAGATTTCGACTGGCTCATTAGCACTTTTTTTGTTGTATGTTATTTCCCCGGAATGATGGTATCTGAATTTTTACTATTTGCTATAATCTTCCCAAATTTCTTTGAATCAATCTGAATTTCATTTTCTACATTTGTTACATAACTTTGAAAGTCTTTGGCTATCAACTGCTTAGATTTTTTCCTCAATGCTGAGTATTTAGCGTAAGCTCCTAAATCATTATACAATTTGAATTTCTTGTGATATGTTTTCTTCCTCTCTATAGTTCTGATAGTATCTTGCTTAAAGTAAATGGGATAGTTTTGCTTGATTTTATATTTAGGTACATTTACTTCGACTACATGTTTGAGCTTCACCGTAAAAATTTCAACCATTTCATTGACATCTGAACAATGCAGAAGCAGATTATCCCAGTTGATATTTGACAGCATAATATTAATATCCATATAGTTAGCTTTTTGGAATTTATGAATGGTCAAATTTGTTTTGGACAAAGACTGTACATTAAAAACTTCGTAGATCAATTCTTATGAAATATTGACCTTAACAAGTAGTCGTGATAATAAAACTGGTTAATATACGTACTTGCAACTTTTAGGTATACCTCTTCTAGCTTTCTGGTTTGTTCTCGCTTCTCACCTTCCATCCGTTTTACATGATCTCTTAGATCTCTATTTGTTTCATGATATTTTTCCTTTTCAACATTTGTATCACCCAACACTCTTCTGACGTCCATAAGTTCTTTTCTCAAAGCCTCTGAACTGTTTTCAGCTGAAATCAGTTCATTCTATTTGGATAAACTTTTGTAAAAAACATAAAATAGTAACACAACAGATCAGAATACAGTAGAGAATTAGCCCCATATATATCCATCGTAGCCCCATATATACACTGTTTAAACCACAGTATTCAGCTGTGATTCTTTATTCCGCTTAGGGATTAGTGATTCCAAATACTTAGGTGAAGCCTTAGCCTTGTAGGCCTACGCAGTTGTACAAAGGGTTCATAGGGTTCTCCTCGTGCTATCTGCCGGAACGGCACATGTCTTCTTGCCCAAGAGCCTCATATGTCAGTTTAGGCGAAAGCGCCTTTTTGGGAGACCCACTATGGCTCTTTACGACCTTCCCATCAAGTATTTTTTTTATTCTCCAGCTACCACGAAGGCCTAAGGGGAAAAGGGGGGACGCCGCACACATTCTGGGCCGCCTGCGTGATCCGCCGGGTGGTACCTCCGCGTACGATAGTAAGAGACCGTCTAAAACCTACGGACAATCACAACATCCATAGCCAAGAGAAGATTTTCTCTTGGCACGGGATTCGAACCCTCGCAGTGCACGGCGACTGGTCAGTAGACGAAGCGTCCAATAGTGATTAGATAGAAGAGCAGCTTCAGAGGGACGTCCCTCCTAGATGCTCAAGCTTGCCATTCTGTCCAATAAATAGGTACAAATTGCTATATCCTGGTGCTAAAATTATCTTACGCAAGCTGTCGCTCTCCAATCTTCAATGGTAGCTATAAAACCCTCCCATGAAACGAACATCTTCCTGAGCATTAATTTGATCACCATATTTAAATTCTACCGCCACCATTCAATGCGTACCTTCTTTGAGTTTTCTGATAGTTTCATGCAGTTGATTACTTATACTTTCTCCTTTATCTTCACATAAACTCAATTGAAGTTTCAAATTTTCAGCCTCTGTCTGACAGCTATCTCTTTCCATCTTCGTCTCTTCGATTTTCTGTACCAGTTTATTACGTTCGTCTTCATGTTTTGTCTTTGCCTCTTCCATTTTTGCTCTTAACTTATTGATTTCTTCTTTAAGTTGATTAATGCTAGCCCTGTCTTGGTCTAGCCGGCTGTTAGCTTCTCTCCTCAAGCGTTCTAGAGCATCTCTTTCATTTTCAAAGTCTCGTCGTGTTTCTTCTAATTTGTCGTGAAGAGCTTGTTGATCATGATGAGCTGAAATAAATTGATAATAATTATAAAAATGTTATTAAATATGACAATTTCCTAAAAATGTGATCTACAGACTACATACCTTTCTTGAATAACTTTTAGGGGGCATTTATTACAGTATGCTTTCTAAAAATCTTTACTTTTTCTATAACAACCTTGCATGTGTTTCCAATGTAGAGTACACGTTATAACATGAATGAACCTGAATTGTTAACAGCTAACTGACCTATGAGCAATGCTTGTTGCTTGTCATTTTCGGCTCGTAACATCAATTCTTCGTGTTGTTGACACAGATTTTCAATGTGGTTCTGTAGATTCTCAATTCGCTGTACCAAACGTTGAATCTCAGCGCCTTTTTCACTGCCAAGTTGTTGCAGTGACTGTTGAAGTCGTTTTTCCAAAGCTATCCTGATGCTCTCCCTTTCGTCGGTGAGTTTCTTTATATTGTCCTCATTTTGTTGCTTAAGTTTGTCAATTATTTGTTTATATTCCATCTATAACCAAACATAGCAACAATAGTAAAAGAAAGATAATCAGAGAAATAAGAACCTATATAGTATTTTACATAACAAATACCTCTTTGTTGCCCGCCGCTTGTGTCAAAGAATTCCTAGTTTCAATGCATTTCTTTTCGGATCTTTCCAAATCCTTGGTCAGCTTGGTAATTTGAGCCTTCAATTGTTCTTGCTTCACAAGTAGCTCCGTTTGCTCTTTCTCTAACTGAGCGTTATTAATTTCTGATGCCTCCAGATTTGTTTGAGCTTCGAACAGGACAGCTTCCAAAGCTTCTTTTTCTGATCTTAGTGCTGCAATGCGTTCTTGGAGTCGTTGATTGTCTTTGTCCATTGTGTCTATCGTGCACTGAAACAAAAGTTCAGGATTCTTAGATATTCATGACCCAATGTGTGTTACATTTTCTTAATCAAATATGAAAAATCCGATACAGTTACTAAAATCGGTTACCAATTAAAAAAGAATGCGGAAAAATTGTACAGTTCATATTTTTTAGTGTTGTGAAATATTTTTCGGGATTATTATGCTTATGATTTTTTTTACCATAAACACTGATTCACAGACCTGCTTCTCCTCGCACTCCTTCACTAATTCTTCTAAAGTCCTGTTCACACGAGCATTGGTTTCGTTCACTTGTTCTAGTTTTTGTCGACATCTCATTAGTTCCTCCGTAAGGGAATCATTCTTTCTTCCCAAGACAGTTAACTGATTGCTTAAGTCGTTTCGGTCTCTTGTTACTTGATTCAGTTCCATTTCAATCTGAAAGCAGTAATGATTTTGATATCTTCTCAATACATCACCTAGGTACTCACCTTTCCTCTTTCGATTTCCAGAAATTTGCATTTTTCGGATAATGAAGTTTTGTCCGATTCTAGACAAAGTTTCTGTTGCTCGGTTTGTAATAATTCTTTTTTCAATGATTGAATATCATTCTGGTGATCACTAGAAAGGTGCTGTAAAGCCGCTTTTTCTTCTTCAACCTAAAAAATCTAATCATCAGGTATGTTAAATAAAAATTATGTTGATGCTTACTTACCCTTTTTAGTTCCTCCAACAATCTCTTATTGTCTAGTTCTAGATTACTGGCTATAGTCTCTTTCTTGACCAATGAGTCATGCACATCAGTTCTATCTGATGATATTTTGTCCACTTCCATTTCAAGTAAAGCTGTGTGAAAGTTATGGTTGAATAATATAATCATTATGATCACATCATCTTTGTATTTTCCGAGTAGCAGACCTTACTAGATCTGAAGACATTCGAGCGTTTGTGTGATTTTAACTATAAAGCTATGATGAAGACTTGAGAAAAAAAGTTACTAATCGAAATTTAAAATACTTGGTTATTCATTATTGAAGATACGTATATTTACCTTTTGCTTTATCCAAGCTCGCTATAATATTCTCAGTCTCCAGCTTTTGAGCTTCGAGCATATCGTTGGATAAATATAATTTGTTTAGTTCTTCTCTCACTGACAAGAGTTCCTCTCTCATTCTACTGCATCTGTCTTCTTCACCTCTCAATGCAATTTCTCTTAAATCTGCTTCTTGGTTCAGCCTCTCGACTTCAGCTTGTAAGAAGGACCTCTCGCTCTGAACATTGCTCAGTTCTTTTTGCAAATTTTGGTTTGATTTTTGTAACCTGTCGTAGTCCAGGTTGAGAGATTCAACCATAGCAGTTACCTACACGTAGAACAAGATATCAAAAAATCATGGTATTTAAAAGCTCGGCTGGATTATAATATTAGATAACTTCATTTGGAACGCTTTAACCATATAGTAATAAATTCACAGAGCGTCGGCAATATTTTTGAAGCATAAAGTAACAAACGTTTTCAATAACCATAATAAAGGAAACGAAAAAGAAAACAACGTCAAAATTGTATTCATTTTTTGTTTGGCAAATTACATAGCCATGGTAGGGACTCTTGGACTGTTTTTTTTTCATTCTAAGACTATTTACCTCTAAACGCGCCCTGTCCAGTTGCGCCTTTTCCGATCTGACCGTTTCCAAATTTTTTTGCAGCATGTCCTTCTCCTGCGTCAGTTGGGTACTGTGGGCTCTGCACATATCCAGCTGTGACACTAAATCTCTGTTACGGTCCTCCAATTTAGCTACGTTATCTTCTGAATTTTCTAATTGCTTGCGAACTAACAAAAGTTGCTCCTTCTGTGACTGGAGTTTTACCTTTAATTAAATTATAGTATAGGCTACTCAGTACAAGACTCTGAAGCATGATGCGAACCAACAAAATACCGTTAACGGCAAGCTGCAGATCACATTGAATAACATATCAGTGACGCTTACCTGTAGTTCATGAAGAAGTGATTGATATTTATGGATGGCGGCCTGCACAGCAGATATCGTGCTTTCTGCAAAAGCTGCTGGTGAAGCGATGCTGCGAGCCTTTCGTTTTGGAGATCTGCAATAATATAGATTAATCGTGGAGTCGATCTTCTTCCAGTGTTTTATAATCCGCCAAAAAGCTAAACGAGTTACTGTAAATGTGCATTCCGACGTATTTACCTATTGCATGCCGTTTGGCTTGCAACATTATTTAAATCCCCTCAGCTGAAGCATGCCAAGGGATGCCGCGGCATACAGCATTGAGAAAACGTGATCAATAATACAGTTTTTCTGGGAATTTTTATTATCCGTAATGATTTTTTGAATTATTTTATAATAATAATAACGTTTATTGCTAAAAGAAAAAAGTATAGCACCACCATAAAAGGCAATATTATTAAACTTGTGCTTGGGCATAAGCTCATGTATAAATCAATTAAGACTAAAATAAATATAAAATTTATTAGACAAGACCTGGTGAAATTTTGAAAAGACGCATTTGGGACGGAGACGCAAAATCGGGACGTAGACAATATTGAAACAAAAGACAATATTAGGCGAATAGGCAAGAACAAAATTAGTAAAAATAAGTAATAAAATGCAATAATTCAGGAGGTAAAAATTCAGGTCAGTTTGATTTATAATTTTTTTTTCATTTTGAAATTTCAATAATTTTGAGAGCGGTTTCCGCGCTTTCATTAGTAGTAGATATTTATGATATTAATCGCTTGATGAATCTTGAGCTGGTTGAAAATCCACAGTCTTAGATGCTTTTTCATAGCTTTGGTACTTCTAATATCTTTTATCTAAGGGGGGATTAAGTTATATATTTTTGGTCTTAGGAAAGTGAAGCTCCTCTGACCTATGATCTTGTTAGGCTTCGGTATGCGTACTGAATGATCTTTGGATCTGGTGTGACGGTCATGTGAGATGAAATTTAATAAATGTTTGTGTTTCGTAATATACGTGAACACACTCGCAATATATATACATATATAATAATATATAATCACATATCTTGGATATCTTATATATCATATCGGTTGGATAGGTGATAGTTTTGTCGAACATGATTTTAAGAATACATTTCGGAGTTATTTCTAGTTTCCTGTATTATTTATTCAACACCCATGCCAAAATTCCATAAGATAACAATTCTAGGTGATTAAATTATTTGGTTTACAGAAATTTCTGGAAACAAGTTTAATCGAAATAAATATAGTATTAAACTAATTTGAAAATAGCAAACCATTTACCTGTTTTGTTAAACTGTTTAATTAGCCTAGGCAATTTTTTATGTAGCAAAGATACATTTAAAACACTTAATCATTTTAATAAAAACAGTCAAATTGCTTATTTGAATCGTGGACTCTGCAGGTCTCGTCCCTTCGGGAGTATGCGACAGACGCAGTGAGTGACGCTCTTCAAGCTCCCCAGTTTCATTTGTGATTTTCTCGAAGAACTTCATATTCGAACGTTGGCGTTGCTGGTGTATATTAGCTGTGACGTGAATCGATTATGATGATTAAGTGAAGGCGCTTAGTGGCCCATAACCATGGTTAGAATATTTCTCGCTTAAAATGAAACACTGTATATAGAGGAGTCACTGCTGTCGTGACGGAATGAGAAGAACTAGAAAATGTTATTTATGCAGCCATCTTTAGGAAGTGGAGCCTCCTGTTGGTGTAGACATTGTAGAATATTGAATTGTCGAATCTATTTATTTATGTAAGTGCGTTGAATGCAGATGAGTGTAATATTGTTTTATTATAAGAAATAAAGTACAATGTTTGTACACCATGATCAAGTGGCCTCATTCATCAGGAAACTTAATACTTTCCTCCTTTCTGAATTAAGATCAAAGAATTGCTTATAGTGAATGGTGATATATACTAAGTGACATATAAATCCGAACACCCAGTTTAAATGGTTTTATTTTAATAAAAATTGGTATAAGTACTTAATGAAGCATAATAAGTAAATGATAAAAATTTCAAAATGATTGCACTGCTTTAAAGCCCTTTGACCTTTAATAATATGTGGATGCACCCTGATGTGCTACGCATTCTCCGACGCGCCTAGGCATGCTTCTGATCAGGTGGTCAATGTCCTCCTGTGGTATCTCATTCCAGGCAACCACCAACTCCTCTCGAAGTGCTTCTAGAGTCTGAGGAGGACGTTGCAAATTGAGCAATCTCCTACCCATCATATCCCACACGTGCTCAATTGGGGATAAGTCGGGAGATCTTGGTGGCCATTGTAACAATGTGACATCATTATGTTGAAAGAAGTCTATTGTGACTCTTGCAACATGTGGTCGGGCATTATCTTGTTGGAAAGTTGGATCTGCCAGGGTGTCAAGATACTGTAAAAGATGGGATTCTAGAACTTCGTGGATATAACGCTGCGCGTTCATGTTATCTCTGATGAAGATTAAAGGTGACCTGGAACCATAAGATATAGCACCCCAAACCATAACCCCAACAGTGTGATGAACATGTCTTTCAACAAAAAACTGTGGATTCCTCCTTTCACCACGTCGCCTTCTAACCCTGGCACGACCATCGTGCATGCCTAAACAAAATCGAGACTCGTCACTAAAGACAATACTGTTCCATTCCTGATCCCAGAGTGACCGTTGTCTGCACCACTCAAGGCGATTACGTCGGTGTTCTCGAGTTAAAGGGAGGACCCAGTGTGGCCGGTATGAAAACAAGCCAAAACTTCTCATTCATCGGTAAACACTTCGCATGCCAATAGGTCTTCCGTGTTCTGCAAACCATTCATTTGCAATGGACCTGGTAGTGGAGAAACGGTCCCTTAAGGCCAATAATCTTAGGCGGAGATCTTCACGGTCTGTTGTTCTACGGCGGCGTCCAGTGCCCCTTGCTCTTTGCGTACGGCCTTCTCGAAGCCATGCCTGACAACACCTAACCACAGTGTCTACACTTCTTTGCACTCTAACTGCAATTGCCCGAAAAGAAAGTCCAGCTTCCCGAAGTCCCACTATACGGCCCCTATCAAACTCACTAAGTTGACGAAATCGTACAGGTCTCCGTCAAGAACCAAAATCCGCCAACGTTGATTCTTTACTGCGGCTGAAATATTCATTTTTAGAGCGTTAGTGAATTAAAAAAAAGCAGTATAAAAACCGGAATGTCCAACTGATAAGGCTGAAAATTTTTTCACTTGTTATTTACAGTAAGATAAATGATTTATATGTCACTTAGTATATTATATCCTGTTTTTGGACAAACAAACAAATAGTTGGTATAACTTGATCCCATACAGTATGTTCATAATCAGTGAAAATAATAAATATCGAGTGTTGTTAGGGTTATACAATTGAGAAGTTTTTATTTTGATTTGAATTTGAATTTTTTGATATCTAAGATTTGTCCGAGCACATTTATAATATACATCATTCAGTAAAATGCAATTATCCAAATATATTTTCAAATCTAAATAAAGTAATTCATTAAAACTAGGAAAACACTTTTACCTAAACTGATTAAACAAGTTTAATCAATATAATTAAATTGTTTTACTTGAAGCAGGTACACTCCTTTTAATAGTCGATTAATTTTAATTAAATTGGTGTAATCATTCTAAATAAGTGTTTTAATAAATTTAATTAAACTAGTTTCTTAGATCCAAGTAAACTGTTTCAAAAATCGTAGACTAATTAAACTAATCAAATTTTTTAACTGTCACATAGTTAATTAGCTTTCTTCATTAAAATTTTAATTGAATTAATTAATTTTTTGTCACTGCGAAGCATGTCGCCGCGGGATTCCACAGCACGCCTTTCGATACAGCAGTGGCGGATCTTGACGGCTTATCATGGCTGCGTCGCCCGTATCCGTAGCCCACCTACTGAATTATATGACGTCGTCATGTCAGGGAGCTGCCATATTTTGTCACAAGTGACCGTCCTGTATAAAAACTAGTTGTGCATTCCCGTTCTGGGGGCAGTCCCCCTCGGGGAGATTATCTTGCAATTATATTCTGTGCGGAGACCAACTGCGCTCTGCAGTGACAAGTAGAGTAAGTACCTCTTTTTCATACCTTTGTATTCAATAGACTTCATTTGTCAGTACTCTGAAGCGCCAAACGTCAGAGCTCTGCCAAGAGCAGAACTAACCCCTAAGGTGTTCCTATGTCACAATGGATGCGCCGCGTAACGATCCCGGAACCTCTTCTCGCCTGGCTTTGCTAGCGATTTGTCACAATTGTGACTTGGCGCTGCAAAAGGCTGATAATGGTAAGCCACGGAAGTATTGACAAATACACTCTATTGAACATAAAAGTATAAGAAGAGGTACTTACTCTAGTTGGCACTTTAGAGTGCAGCTGGCCTCCGCACAGGGCAGAATGACAGGAGAGCCCCCTAACAGGAATGACAGGAGAGCCCCCTAACAGGAATGCCAAAGAGTTTTTATCATCAATAATATTCCCAATTTAGCTGATATGAATACACCATTGCGATTATGCATACTTATCCGCGGATGTGGTTTAGGATATCTGTTTGTAAGCTAGCGAGCTGGCGCATATAACGCCTTACAGGGTGGTCACCCGTGACAATATTTCCATACTTTAGTTTGGCTACAAATGGTAAACTAACTAACTAACTAACTAAGCATTGTAAGAGCATGCTGTGCGATACTGGGGAAGTAGGTTTCGGTATGGGGCGGCATCGGCCGGCTATCGGGCTATAGAAGTTGAAGACAGGGGTATTACGTATCTTTTACATTATATAGGTTTGTTGTGACATTATGCAGGTTTTTCTACAAAGTGTCAACTTAGAACTAGCTATTGTCCATTTCATGTGCGCTCGTTCTATAACTATACGTGTTGCCTAAACAACATGACGCTTCAGCTATCAGTGTTTGGCTCTGATGTGATGGAACATCTGCTCCAGAGATGACATTAAGCTGTCAGCTGTATACTAAAGGTGGATGGAAACGGCAGGGTATCTGTACATAGCGAGGATTTGTGTGCTAATATTCTGCGTTGAATATAATTTCCCTAGTTTCTTGTTTCAAATACACCTACTTGAGATGTATGCTTTATCCTGGAAATCGCATATGCTGAATTTCAAAAGTGAAAGAGAGATAAAACAAGAAAATCCCTGGTTGGTGAAGTATATAAAAACTACCTGGTGAGACAATAGGCTACAGACATGAATCTTTATGAAACGTGAAAAGGTTATTACATTTAAATTTACATTATTTTTTATTTCCAGTCATTTAAATTGTACAGAAATTTATTTTGCGATTTCAAGTCGCCTAGATGTGAGGCACTGAAAAAATGTTTTGTGTGTGATGCGTCGTTTCTATTTTTCTGTGACGTGACTTGATTACACACAACGCGGGTGCGGTGGTGACTTCCCCTAATGCTTTTGAAAACGCAAGAAAATCGGTGTAATTTGTAACTTTAAACATAACCTTTCTTCGGAAAGGAGAACATAAATAACCGGTCTAGTAGAGCTAATATACTTCACATGCAGACGTATATACACAATCACCACACAATCATCCAGATGCGATCTTGTTATTGAACTAATTTTCTTTCTTTCACACCTTCTCAGAGATACATACTCTATAGACTATCTTGTACATTCTGCAACTAAGAAAGCACGCTTGCATGTCGTTGAACGATTCCTCCATAGGTGCGCTACGGTGACGCTCACAGCGAGCAATAGCGAAATGAACTTTTTGTACACTAGCAGCTATCTGGTCAGAAAGTTGACATTTTGTCGTTTTTTTACATTATATATATATGTATATATATATATATATATATATATATATATATATATATATCGGCTTTTTACATAATAGCTCTGCGGGCCACGGCATGTTGACGGATGCTCATAATAATGTATGCGACAAAGGTTTTGAGAAAAAGTTTGCCATGAAATGTCTACTCGATTTTGATGTCCGATTTAGTTATCCGTAAACAAATCGCGGATTTTTGCCATTAATGAACGTGAAATTGCTTTAATAATTAAGTTCAAAATGTCGTACAAAGTTGAAATTCGCAAGATTATCCACAGCTTATATGGATGGTTTACCAAAACTGAAATTGTGAACTTGTTCAAAGATAAAAGTGTTAGCCAGGCAACCATTCATAGGACAATAATATATCATGCATTAATTTGCCGAAAACTAAAAGACCAAATGTTTTATCACATAAAAGCTGGTAGAAAGTGCTCAAGGCTCCATATACAGATAGGTCTGTGTTCTATGATCTCATACAAAACCGTGTAGAAGAATTTGTCCAAAAAGAACGTAAATTTCCATATTCACTCAGACACAACTCGTAACAATGCCTGAATGTTGCAGGGCTCTGAGGCGTAAGCATGTTTTGAAAAAACCGCATGATTATAATGGATGTTGAAAAGTATTTTACGCTGTCCCGATTTTACACCTCCGATGTTGAAAATTGTCAAGATGAAATAAGATTTAAAGTAAAGGCGAAATTGAAGCGCGATTTTTGAGGCTGGAGTTTCGGTACTCTATGCTGGTCGAGTTCTAGGAGAAGCTATAGACATCGAGCCTTATACCCAAAGATATTTACCAAAACTCATTCCATAATGCCAGGGAAGCTCGAGAGCAGTTGGAATAGAATAACGTGAATTATGTGCCGAGAGGCTCCCCATATGTACCATAAGCTCGGCCAATCGACTAATTGGGGTCGTTTATGCGCAGAAAAGTTCATGATAACGAATGGGGAGCACAAAAATTGTGGGTGCGCATTTTCATAAAAATTCAAGAGGTGGACATGTACATCATCCAACGGAAGTCTTAACCAAATTGCGTGCTTTTGAAGATCACGGTCCGCAACCAGTTATGAAAATTCGTTTTCGTATTATCAAAAGATGTATAATCAACCATTAGTATTAAGATCTTAATCAAATTTCACTGATCAAGCCGGTTACATTTTTCTCAACTACGCTAAAACGGGAAATTTTTAATTAGTTTGAACCTGACGGAGAATCTATTTTGAACCCTTTCTCACCCACTCTACGATGTGTGCTAGCACATGAAGTTTATTTGTGCAAAATTATAGAATGTCTATAGGGTGAATTAAGAAGTATACCCTATCCCCTCTAGTGTGAAATTTTCTGAAATGACAAAAAAATGAGGCGCGGCCCCAGTCATGGGCAGCGCTCGTGAAAAGTATGTTCAGCTAAAACTTTTGCTTGCTTGGAAAAGAACACCTCATATCGATGATGCCAAAACATATGAACATTAGTCCCAAATTAGTAAATCAGGTTAAAATCGTGTAGCGATACTTTTTAACTATAGTTTCTTCAATATTATCATCAGGCACGTATGTCATCATCTTACAAGTAATGCACACCGAGATAACAGTTTATTAGAACATCGTAGGAGGTTTGCCTCCCGGCAGAGCAACTGGTAAGAAAAATAGTCTGTGATGATGTTGACATCCTTTGGTGTCTAAGCCAGCTCACGACAGTATCTATTAGTATAACAGCCAGTGAATGGCGCGAATCATGTTCTCCGATACCGAGAGAGAAAATTTGTTCTGAAGGCCAAGCTTTAGGCTTTGTGCAGTGAGAAGCATCATCTCACGGCATCTCTGCATGTGATCCCTTACGGCCTTATCGGCCGGGTTTCTGTTCTGGATCGGTTATACTCACTTTTCTGGTACTGGGGTAGTAGTTGTGAGATGAAGATGTGTAGCTTGTAATATATCAAGGTCCTTAGCCTCCGCATCTTGTATAAGAAAGTGGGCTATATCTCGTAGGGCGTTATGTAGTATTTCCATGTCTTCCTGCATTTTCATCACTTGTCCGTAGTTTTGTTCTGTTTCGACACATCGTTCTTCCTACATCAAATTTATAATTTTCAGATTAAAAAGCGTTGAACTGTAGCACTAAGTATACAGTTCAAGTACAGATAGCGAAGGTTCGATAGCGAAAGTATGTGCCAGAATGCTGAAGCAACAAAAAAATTATCTTGAAACAGCGACATAGAAGGTCATGAAACTAAATTTTCCATGACCGTTTGATACGCGTTAGACTGTTTCTTGAATTTGCACTAGTTTATATTTACACTCATGATAACAAAGTCTATTTAGAATTCGATGCACTTTAGTTCTTGTTTCTTGTAAGAAAAAACCTCTTTGGTAACACGAAAATGTATTAAACATAAATTTAGTCCACCCTTGAACTTCTACGAGTATTTTATAGCTCCGATGAATGTCAGCCATATTTTGTGGTATATTCCAGAAGTTATTTCCTATATAATTTTTAATAATTTTGGGTGGTCAAATGTATTTTCAAGAAGGATGCTTACCATTGTTTGCAGATCCTTGAGGAGTTGCTGATTCCTTTCCTCTTTAATCTTCAGTTCGCTACTGCAACGTTGATGTTCAGCATTCAACGCTTCGATTTCCGTCCTTAAGTGTAATACTTCTTGTTCCAGGTGATATTTTTCTTTTCCCTACGAAAAATGTATTATGAATTATACCTAGATCCGGTTTAACCTGAACAGAATCTTTCTCTTAAAAAAATCTCTTACGCCATATACATCGGCAGCTATTGATCGGCCATCTATCTTGCTACACGCCAAAATCATATCCTTTCCAAATCCTACCACTTCTCCTTTTAATTTACTTAAATCTCTTTCAGTATCAACTTGTATGTCCAAGAATAGTCTCTTCACAGCCACTACGTCTCTCCATAAGTTGAGCAGTCTGTTGTGTTCTAAAATGCAAGTGAAGACGGCAGTTATGTTAATTTCTGTATTATCAAAATTTATGTGTGTATATTACACAGGTGATATAAAATAAAACCCAGTGAAAATACGAAATAGCTTTTGTTCTTTCGACCACAGACGGCCAACCATGGTCAGCTCTTTCGTGCTATTTGGCAACTCCCCAGTATGGCCTATACATAGCATAGGAAGCGCTCAGCAAAAGATCTCGTGGTGGCGCACATGCTGCCGTTTTGAATTACAGTCCATCAAAAGAGGCATATACTTAGTTGACGCCATCGACCGTCGACTTGTTTCTGATATAAAATCCATAGTCGTAGTTAATTTTGTGTACGTTGTGTTTAATACCAATTACTCAATTTTCTATTCACATTATGTGAACTTTCCTAGCTTTTATCAAAATATGCGAATATGCATTTATGGAAAGAGTAATGTGTTCTAATTTCTATTTTTCTTCTTGATGGATACCTATAATTAATCTTACTTTTATCTTGTGAAGGTGAAAAGCAACATGGAGTGTTTGTACTGTTTGAATAGTGATGACCAATATTATTATTTTCGGTAAAACTTTACTATGTAGGGTACAAACTCTATGTACCGTATACCTATGTGAATGTAAAGGATCACCTCACTTACTGCTGATAGGTGTGTTCTGTTGTTTACCTACTATATACTATACTTTCATGTATGTAGATATTTTGAGACATGGGCGCTCATTCACTGGCAACCAATACCACGTAATGTGTAGGAGAGAAGCGCGAGAAGCGTGGAATACGTGTGCTAGAAAGAGTTAGAAGCACCTCATTGACATCACCCCAACTGACGAGGCCACGGATGAAATCGGCGCACTCTTTCTTACATACATATTGGACGCTTTTCGCGCTTTTCTCTCGTACACATGACGACGTCAGCCAAATTTGAATCTCACCGTATAGCAAAATTCAGAGGGGGCAGGTTAGGCTTACAGGCCTAGTCAACCAGATTGAAGCAGTGTTGCTGTTGGCTGTTTAAGGTGGTGAGATAAAAGATGGTTTCTACGTACGGTTGCTTTGACGAATAAAAGCACCACCCGTTGTCCAAGAAACGAATTATCTATCAAGAACATTTTACTCCTCAAACGCCCCTCTAATGGGGGCCCAGTTTCGTTTTTTTGTCATGTAGTTAACAAGTCTCTACTTATGAAGATGAAAATATCCAATAAAAATGATATCAACTGTGCTGAGACGCATAAATGAAAGCATATTATTAGTGCAATTTGAGCTTATCGACAAGATACATTTCAGGAGTTACTTTAAAAATGTATATTTCGTAACTGTATTCCGCATACTAAGTATTATGAAGGTGACCTATTTGCCAGGGTTTGTCTCCTCACTACTACTGCTACTACTTTTCTGAATCCGCACCTGACACAAGTCCATTACAAAATGGTGCCGTCAAGGACAAATTTCTCACGAAGTAATTTTATATTTTGATGTCTAAGAGATAGCCTGCTGTTTGTTTCCAGAACGAAAGCTGAGCAACTATTCTCTATCCAGAGTATACGGCATATCACCTGTACAGTAATAATCGTTGAATGCTTGTTCCTCATCTTTCCATTCGTCTTCTTTTACAAGCATTTCTTCTCGTAGTGCTTCCCAATCGTTTGTAAGTTTCTGTAGGTCAGCGGTCAGGACTTCATTTGTACGATGTGATTCCTCTAGTTGTCCCCTCAAGGAAAGGTTATGTTGCATTAGTCTCTCCGATCTGAAAAATAGATCAACGGGCGTTAGTGACCTGATTATTGATATTTATAATGTATATATAATTGTCTACGAAAGGAGAACTAAGCTTCCTCTCCGGTCTCAAGTATGAACACCATGGGTGCTTGCAGAAGTTGTTCTCAGGGAAGCTGAATGGACATCACCAAGAGACAACTTTCTGTATATTATGTAAGTGATCACCTTCCAAAACATTTTGAACGGCGGGGGTATCAAATTTTTTCAGAGGAGGGAGGGTAAATCCCAAAAGACCCCAAGGCTGCACACAAAACCATAGTGAACATGCTAATTTTAGATTCGCTCCTGCCAACCCCCCCCATGAGTAACAGCATTTTTTCTATAAATCAACACGGATTTTCAGTCAAGTATATTACAGGATAATGTAGGCCACTTACTTTCTTCGTTCTTCTTGCAGTTTCATCAAAGCGCTATCCAAATCTGTGATTTTCTCCTCTTTAATTTCTTTGAGGTGCTGTTGTGCCAACTCCAAAGCTGTGCTTGGAGTCCTTGGTGAGGTGGTTGGATACGTTGATGGAGTTAATGATGGTGGTTGATCTATAAGCTGATGTTCCATTTGGGCTTCGAGGTCGGAGCACCTTTGTTTGTACTGTAGGACCTGAAAGGTGTTCGCCAATTACCAAGTATGAGTAATTGAAGTTTTGAACCAGGTCAAACCTAAGATCTGACGACCTAACTTGGCGGGTCATATCTCAAATTGGGCACATTTTTTTCTGGAGAGTAACTATGGAGGCATGAGGCTTTGTAAAATTTCAGGGTCTTATATTGAATGGTCGGAATTTTACCGTTTTGAATGTTATTGGAGCTACACCTAATCATAGAGGTTAGTTACATCTAGGGTGAGGTTCAAATTTGGCTGACGTCGTAATGATAGAAGCGCGAGAAACATGCAATATGTTTGTTAGAAACAGTGCACCGATGGGAACGCGGCCTCGTTACTCGGATTGCTAGGCAACTAGGTGCTTGTTTATCTTTCTAACACACATAAGGCACGCTTCTCTCTCGTACACATTACGACGTCAGTGGTACATGGATTTCGCTGTATACATTAATACATTACTTAATGCCCATTGGCTACCGCAGCATTTAAGAAATACTTGCAAAAAGCCAATAGTTCATTCAGTATACAGCGTGTCCAAGATAAAAATTGCAATCTCAAAAACTGTTAGTGCTACAATATTGTATAAATGATGAAAAAATTGCGTGATATGCAGCTTACAAAATCTTGCTGTCTATTTCCATTTTTGATTTACTTGAAAAGAACGTAATTCTGAGGGTAAAACTCACAGTTTTCTGAACCTTCATGGTTTGAGTGCGTCTTCAGATAGAATCTTTGATATAGGACAAAGCTTCGGGTTTCTATACGTATATGTATGCTCCAGCAAAAATTGATCCCAATCTGAGATAAGACCCCCAAAGCCAGGCTATTGAAACTTAGTTTTGTCCTTACTATACGGCTTTCTTTCGTACGTTGCATCAGAATGCTGCTAAAACAGCCAGCATCAAAAGAAATTGAGCATGGCAAACAGTGCATTTGAAGTTGAAAATCAAAGTCAATTTTATGAAGTCATCACCCGTTCTTCATGAACTCTTTATTCTCCCTGAGCTGGATAGCGATTTTATCACCTCGCTGAAAATTCTGTTGACGTAGACTGCCCTTAGGTCACAATACACTTTCTTAAGAGAGATAGTCAGTTCAGGCAAGAGTGCGATTACCAGGAGATTGACTGATTTATCTACCCACTATTAAACTCTTCATATTTCGGAAGTAGTGAGAGAAATTTCTGTACAAATTGAGAGTTGAATAAGCTCCCCAAGCAAGTTCTGCTGTAGTCTCGCGAATGTTCAGTATCAATGAGCTTCCCGTGCCTACCTTAGCTTGTAGTCTGCTGATGAGCGCCGCTTGGTTCTGCTGCGCTTGCCTGTAGGTGTCGAGGCGCCTCCTGTAGAAGGAGGCTTCCTCCTGGAGGCGGTGCCTTAACTCCCTGGTGTCATCGTCGCTACTACCCCCGCCGTCTCCTCTCAGCCGACCACCGTCTGACCTCTCAATGCTGGCACTACTTGACTGCAAAATTTAGTCATTGAAGTTATTATGATCATTTAACTATTGATATACCCTTTAAAAAACTTGTGCCCGTTTCCACCACTACAGCTTAAGCTCCGCTTAACTTTGAGCAAAGATTTAGTGTATAATTTGGTTTGCATAGGTGTGGCTTAGCATTTGAATCGGCGCTTAAGTGACGGATATGTTGATCCGTACAATTGTGTGGTTTAAACCCTGCTTTAACAATATCGCATATCAAAGGTGACAAATGGTTGATAGCTTTGCTTTTCAGTTGTGTTTTGAGTTTTTGATTACGATTTCAGTAGAACTAAATGTGATAGTATGACAAATTTACACAAGGGTTGATTTGCTGACGAAATTTGATGATGAAACATTCCGTCAAAGTTTCCGCGTCTCGAAAAGTGTTGCCTTAAAAATGTTGGGGGAATCGAAATCGATTTTCCATATAATAATAACTATCAAATGATCAGAGAATAGTCTATTTTTTTATACCGAAGCAGCCGCGCAGGCAGTAGCCTAAATGCCGGAACACCGCGGCTGGTATGATGATCCCAAAGAAATTTCGTTAATACGATTTTTGAACTGCCTAACGTTAGTAGAACCGGGCTTCCTCTTGTAGATTGTTTCACAATCTTGACACCCTCGGGACAGCACCAAGCACAAATAATGTAGTCGGGGCGGAAGCACCCCAAACGTGTGAGCAATACTCGAGGCTAGGCGTTATCTGGGCCTTGTATGTAGTGAGAAGGTACATGCGAAAAGTACTTCTTAGCCCCAAAACAGATAGCGTAGCTTTTTCCGAGCAGCTGCCGCTATTGACGAGATGTGCTCGTGCAAGATCAGGTCCTCGGTGATCTGGACTCCGACCAGCCGAAATGAATGGCTCTTTGGCAGAACTCGGCCGTCCATCGAAACCGGATGAGCGCTAGGACGCTTTTTGTTTGTCAAAGTACAGTATTGTGTTTTGGAAGCATTAAACTGTACAAGATTGTTGTGTCCGATCCCTGGGGAACACCTGCGTTGACGTTGTGGGATGAAGAGGAGAACCCGTCAATTACGACGAATATCTTGCGGCGAGAGATAAAGTCAGCCATCCATCTGCAACGCTTTTCTGGGAGGCCATAGGATGGAAGTTTGCTTAAGAGTACAGCGTGCCACAGCTGATCGAACGCTTTCGTGATGTCAAGAGCAACGACATGAGGCTCACCATAAGACTGGATGAGCTTACTCCACAATTGCGTGACGAAAGCTAGGAGGTCCCATGTGGATCGCTGGTGCCGGAAACAATACTGCCAGTCGGTAATCAAGCTGTGACGTTCGAGGTAGTCCAGAAGCTCGCGATTTATGCACCTCTCCATCACCTTACTTATAACAGAAAGCAGAGCTATAGGCCTGTAGTTGTCAGGGTCGGTCTTAGATCCTTTTTTTGGGATGGGTTGGACATGACCAAATTTTCAGTTTTCTGGGAAGGTCCAGAATCATAAGATATCTGGAAGAGACTCGAAAGAACTGGTGCAAGCTCCGCTGCACACCTCTTCAGTACAATGACAGGAATCAAGTCTGGACCAGAAGCTTTGTTCATGTCGAGCGACAAGAGCACTCGTCTTACGGTCTTATTCCTGAATGTTACCTCCCGCATAGTGTAGGGAACCCTTTGAATTCACGGCACTTGGGCGTTGGGGAGTTGGCAGCAAGGATCTAGGCCAGCACTTCCGCCTTGGCGTTTGAGTCGGATACAATCGTTCCATCCTGACACGTAAGTGGTGAAAAGCTACTGTGTGAGAAGTTCTTTTGAATCTGCTTGGCCAGCGTCCAGAAAGACCGACTGCCATGGCGCTGCGACATTACCCTGTGCCTAACTTTAATATCGTGCTGCTTTATGGCATTGCGAACCGGTTCGTATATTTGTTTCTGGAATCGACGTCGGCTTCTATGTGCCTTGATCTTCTGCTGGCGAGCAGTGTCACGCAATTTGTTAAACCAGCTGTTGGACCCTGGTTTAGGCACATTCACTATGTGACTGATGTATTCCTCCATTCCGACGTGGATAATTTCGGTTGTCGAAGAACAGACAGCCGACGCATCCGCTTCAGTGAAACAGATATCTCTTCCAAGGAAAGGTAGAGAAGAAGTCTCTGAGCCCCTCTCAGTCGGCATGTCCGTAATGTCAAGTTTTGCGGCCTATACGAGTTTCTGCTGCCACAGGGGGTTCTGACCAAAATCTGACCTCCACAACACCCTGGTCTGAGTTACCTAGGGGGCAGGATGCGTGGTCAGAAAGAGATCCAGTAGGCTACTGGCATGTGACGAGATGCGGGGAAAAAAGTAGGGCTCGTCACGAGCTAGGTCAGCGCTTGAGTAAGAGCGAACGCTTCGACTGCACGACCTCCTGCATTGGTCTTGTTTGAGCCCAACCAAAGCTCATTCTGGGCATTGAAATCACGGAGAAGAACTACGTCTGAATCGGGGTGATTGATGTTCAGGAAGTCGATCTTGACGGCGAGGTATTCAAGTAGGTCATCCCAATTATGGTCCGAGGGAGAGCGATAAAGGCAGCAAATAAATTTGGGTGATGTTTTGGAGTTGAGGAGATGCCACAGAATGTCCTTCCGGTCTGATTCCAAAGAAACATCTCTGGAGCAGGAAAGACTGCTGCGGACAAAAGCCACAACTCCTCCGTTCTTTCTCAGATTGGAGTGCACCTCGTAATTTGGGAAGCTAAGATAGTTAATCGGTGCAGACTCCGGAGCAAGAATAGGAGCAAGAGTGGGAAGAGCAACTGCCAGGTTTTACAATAAAGAAATAAAGTTTGCTCAAATACAAGATGAAAGAACTACAACACAATTTCTCAGAGTTGTGGGAACAATGAACCATAGGGCGCAAGATGGAATCTCGATACTCAAATAATGAAGCAGTATTGCTCATTTACATGATTAAAAAAACCATCCCTACGTATCCTAGTTATCAATAGGGTAAAGTAATAAAAGATCTACTATACTTTTTAGTTTTATTTATCATTTAATAATGGGAAAACAATGTTTTTGTAACATTTGGCCTTCTCCTTTTTGACCATTGATACCTAAGTAGTGGGGTTATTTGCCTTTTTAAATGGCTACAGAAACCTTGCTTCAATTCAGTGTTATTAGGTAATACATACTGAAAACACATCTAAAACATCTTATATAATAAATTGTACACAATTAACGTTGATTTACAAAGAATAATTCTGGTAAAATTATGTACACACCTGACATTCAAGATGCATATTCATGTTCAGTGGATGGAGGTCCTTCCACGGGTTTTGTATAATTATTATGGTCCATTCCATCGATTTGATGGTTTTGAGTAATTGCATGTGCTGATTGTATGTAGGAACTTTCACAAAGCGGTAGTGGTGCAAACATGATTAAATTTAAGCGGGACTCAAATATGAGCGTCGCTTAACTAGCATAGATAGATTTAAGGGGAAGTGGTGCAAACGGACATTAGACATAGTCAAAGGCTTAACGCATTCCAAGAAACGGTAGAATTCATCACCAAGTTAGCTTCATCTTTAGAGATGAGACTGATGGACGAATGCGAAACTTCCGCACATTTTTTTCAGAATGACCCAACGAGCGACTCTTCCATCAATGTTCTACAATGTTTCTACATACATCTCAATGGAATCTTCTGGGCTAGATCTTGTCGAGTTCAACGGACAGTACATCCATATAAGTGCATATTTTATTCAGTACGCGTTATACGCTTCAAATACCATCAACAATTCTTAGCGCATACCGAAGGATAGAAAAGAACATCCGAAAGGATTTTCCTTCCGATAGCGTTTACTGAAAAGTCCCCCGCATTACCAGGAGCATCCGCCGACACTCATGCAACTGCCCCCACCGCGATGTCTCCTAGCATGCTCATCAATGTCAAAAGTGCAAAGATTACTGGAATATCAAAGGGCATGCAGAGGGATCCCGCAAAAGGGGGCATCGCATGCCAGACTATACGTCGGACTGTTATCATAGGAGAGTTTTCAGTCACTTTTGATGATTGGCGTCCCCCTATGTGAGCATACTTATTACTCAATCCTTTTCTATTATCGGTTTGTAAAGCACACAACGTGTCATATGGCGGAAACTACATCTACATTCATCTTGGTGAAGATACTTACGTCTGTTCTTGACTTGGGCCTAGGTGGTCGCCTCCTTTCCATTTTGGGTGGGTCCGATTTCTTGCAAATGAATAAAGATTTTTAATATTATATTAACAATATCATTAATTTTAAATCTGAGATAATATTGTTTTGGAAAACAATGAATTGCTATTACGATTCTCAAGTCACGTTTTTAGTATATTGGACTCTGTTGTAGATAAAATATGTATTTATTATAACAACTGTTTGGATAACGTTTTTCATAGAATATGTATGTAGGCCAAGAAATAGAGACATTTTGTATGAGGAAATCCCAGAATTTGGATGGCAGTAATTTTTTTTGTGGCATCGTTAGATTATTATTTCCTAATGATAAGTTCAAATTGACGTCATGAGATAGGGCAGAGATGGAGTATTTGCCGTCATTCTGATAAACGATAAAAAATGAGAACAATTTTGTAGGGAATCAAATTCTTCATCGTCCTTTACGTTTTCTCGACACCTTAATGGATTTTGAAGTATAACACTATTTTAAAGTGCATCAATTTTTTTACTAACACGTGTAAGTACGAGTATGGATAGTCTTGATAATCTGTGATATTTTTATCAAAATATCTCAAGTCACTCACTCCCACCTATTTTGTCACTGAGTAATTTCAGTAACCGTTGAAGCGATTTTAATGGAAGAGGAGGTGTAGTAGATAATGTTGGTTTATGGTATCATTATCTTTCCATTAAGACCATTGCAACGGTCGCTGAGGCTGCACAGCAATAGCCAACAGACAGACTGATGGAAGTGAATGACTTGCATTTTCACGATGAAGACAAAATATCCGAAAATACTATACTTTGCATACTTACGCGTCGCAGTTAAATAGTGGATTGACTCTACAATTATATCCCTGATCATATATAACGACATGAAGTTATCCCCACGTGAAGACATGTTGTATGTTGATACGTCGACAGCGTACCTAGCGTGCAGAATGTGACACGCGATTGTTTTGATACAAATTTTTGACTTTCGTTCCTTATACTAGAAGAACCATCAAGGTTTTGAAAAAAACGTAAAGTGCCTTTTTGTAGAAAAGTTTATTCTCCACAGAAACGGATGATAGTCTGTATACACTTTGGTTGTTAGTTCAGCCATTATAAGCGAAAATATCATTACATGTACATTTACTCTTAAATTAATCTAACAATTTCACCAAAAAAATGTACTATCGCTAAAACTGTAGGAAGAAATTACTGATTTCCTGGCTTAATGTTTTTATACAAACTGTTTGATGTAAATTCTTTCATAGGCCGGTAGTACCTCGTCACTTTTGGTCATGTTTAAGATATGATTGTAGCTGAACCATAGGTGGTTGAATGAATGAATGAATTATAAAATTAGGGGCATACTGGCCACCATGAGGAGCCGGCGCATAGACAACTTAGACGCAACCCCACATTGCCTAAACCTCAAGCCCCGCCCTTCCGCAAAGTTGAGTATAGCCTTGAGTCCCAGCTCCTTAACGTTCTGGGGATCCAAAGTGATTGAACCCAGTATAGTCTGCCTGTAGTAGCTCAGAGCCTCACAGCGACACAGAACATGGGCCGAGGTCTCTTCCTCTACCCCGCAGCGCTCACACAACGGAACCTCAGCCACCCCCATCACGTGCAAATGGCACCTCGACGTGTTATGGCCAGACCAGTCCCACCAGCAACCTTAGGCTGGCTCTATCCAAGGACAAGCTAAGGTGTCCATCCCTAGCACAAGGCCCAACGATGAGTACCCCTGCCTGACGAAGATTTTTGGAGATGCTTCTCTATTTCTGAGAGTGTTGTCTTGCAATGCACTTCTCCATTTTCTCCGCACTTATCATATCAAATGCCTCGCTGCTAGACAATTCAGAGTCTGCTGCAGTGCAACGCTAGGCTCGAAGTAATCTTACAGGAACTATAATAGGTGGTTATGAATGAATTATTAAATATTTCTTATTGAATGCCAATCTTTTAAATTGAAAATATACTTCGGTCAGTCGTAAAATCAACTTTATCCGGAGTACATTCATAATGGGGCTCCTCAGAGTGAGTTTGTAGTAAAGAATTCGAATATTATATTTTTCCGATATATACGTCGATGTTGCTGCTTGATATGCAAAAAATATACAGAAAGCCCACGTCGACATATGGTTATCAGTTAATACAAAGAGAACAATACATATCAAGTGAGTAAATAACCAGGAGCTGTCACATGGCATTAACACCATCATGAGGTGTTTTAACTTTTTTAAAATACCTCAAGTTTGTGGAGTTATTACATCATTTATAAGTACAGAAAATACGAGCATGTCAACAAAACTGTTTAATAATTTCTTGTATTGCCTAATGCGTAGACTATAGATCTCATGCACAAAATTAGAATATGGAGATACTTCAGGTCGCTGTCAGAAGAGAACTTGTTGCTTTGAGATTTGAATTTTGGATTCCAATTTGAATGTTTTTATAGTATAGGTACACCTACTAACTTTTTCAAAAATTGACCTGTTTTTTTGGTTTGGTTACTCATTTAACCTATATCATATTCGATAAGATACCCGACATACGTGGAAAGCAATGCATATTTTCGTTGCTTATTGAGCATACTAAAAACCATTTATAAGATGCTCAAAGTTTGTGACGTAATTTGTAAATGGATTAGATGATAACGCGTATCGAGTCAACCTACTTGATAGAATTTTAAAATATATTCAAAGCAAGTGGAATCAAGTATCTATACTTCCCACGCATTCCAAACAACTTCTAGTCAAATTTTCCATGTGGCGCAATGACATAAGAAAGATCTCAGAATCATTAATGCAATATTTGGGTTTTCATGACAAAGAGTTTCCTCAGATTGCAGCAAAGGGCGTGCCCATACACGGTAGCCTCATTTCTTTGGAGTTCTGTTGAAAAACTATTTGTCAGTTATGTTTGACTTATATACTAGATATACGTATAGTAATAATTTTTTTACCCATATTTTTTTAATATCTTCAAAACATTCAACTGGAATTAACTAAAATTTGGTATGTTGATTTACCTAAGTATTGTCCACATTCAGAAGTCTTTGCTTAAAATTAACGTGCATGAGTGGCGGAGATACAGGATATTAGTGGCATTATTTTTCCAAATAAAAATATTACGCCACTTTTTTTTTTCGGAACACGCAATTTTTCTACTTCTACCTTCAATTTGCTACAAATAATTACACTTGTGTTTTTTTCCTAGAGTGCATTGTTTTCTTGAAAATAAAAAAAAATAGATAATCAAAGCTTTATTTCAATAAATGTTCAAAAAGGCAACCATTCTGACGGATACAACTGCGGCATCTTTTTAAAAAAGAAAAAATATTTCCGCCAAATTTGTTGTAGCTTGATTTTGATGAATCGCATTATCTATTGTTTCTTGTAACTGATGAGCAGTATTCATTTGTTGTTCATACACTAGTTGTTTAAAAGCGCCCCACAAAAATAAATCCGGGGCAATGTACGGGTCCGTTTCTGCCAATCCATCATTGTCTAAAACATCATCTAACAAATTTTCTATGTAATTCTCTAGAAAAACTAAGTATGAGTTTGCGTTTAAATGTTGTGGCAATACGTGCATAAACAGTTGGCCATCGATAATGCCGTACCAGACATTTATAGAAAATATGTGTTGAAACGAGTGAATTTTTACAGAACTGGGATTTTCTAATGACCAAATATGTTCAGTATGAGAATTAAAGGTTCCACTCCTAGTAAAAAGCGATTCATTTGACCACAAAACGAAATAACTAAAATCTGCATTTTGATTATGCATTTGCAGTAACCACTCACAAAAATTTCGCCGTTGCACTTCGTCGCCGGGTTGCGAACACTCAACATTTTGCCGATGGTAACGATGTAACACTTCCCGATTCAAAATTCTCCACGCAAGACATTGGGAACACGGTAACTGGGCTGCAATCCGCCTAGTAATTGTACTGGAATCATCCAACGCCAAATTAATCGTCTTGAACAGTATGCCGGACACCATGGCCTCTACCTCCGGGAAGTTTGGCAATTCCATATTTCCGGAGTCTTAGAAATGAACGCGTAAAAACCCTTGGGGTAGTTTGTCGTCTGTTAAGAAATCTACGTTAATACTCCCGAGAAGCCGCTAAAGCATTTCCATTACAGAACCCGTACACAAAAATAATATCGGCGTACTCCTCATTGCTAAGTTCAATTTCACAACACTCAAAAATGGGAAAAATAAAGTTTGACTTCAACCGTATAACACATAACTTTACTCCCAGGAAACGTCAAGTTGGTATAAAGGCCTCCTATTTTATTTTGAAACTAATTGTATATCGACTCTTCATGAAGGATCAAATTTGTTTTATTTTCACGAAATTATTTGTAGCAAATTGAAGGTAAAATTCTAAAAATTGTTCGTTTCGAAACAGTGAAACAATGGCGTACTATTTTTATTTGGAAAAACGATGCTACTAATCCTCTGTATCTCCGCCACTGGTGCACTTCAATTTTAAGTAAAGACTTTTGAATATACTTAGATAAACCCACATACCAAATTTTATTTCATTCCAGTTGACGGTTTTGAAATTTTAACTTTCTTTTTAATGAGGCCGTCGAGGAAAAAATGTTACATAGAAGACCCCCCTTAAAATGCGGTCCTGTGTATGATGTTTCATTTTTGGTCACGACGTATATTGACAATATTGCGATCCGTCGGTTTGTTTTAAGAGCAAATGTGCGGGAAAATCTAAGACTTTTTTTGAGCCGAAGCAGCCACGCAGGCAGAAGCCTAATCGCCAGGACACCGCGGCCGCAGTGAGGAGCTTAAAGAACCTTTGTTAATCCGACTTTTGAACTGCCTAAGGTTAGCAGAACTGGGAAAAGCCTCCTCATGTAGATTGCCTCACAATCTCGATACCCTAGCGACAAATGAGAGGACGAATAGGCCAGTTTTGGATGTACGAATGTCGACACGGTAAGGATGGGAGGCGGGTCGGTCTGGCAGACACATCGCGCGGCCGCATCATGAAGGAGAGCTCTGAGGAGCAAAGC